TCATTGATAAATGAACTTGGTATCATATATAAAAAGGTTAACAAAAGTATTCACCAAAAAATAAACAAAAGTGTAAGCATGTAGCTTACATTGTCTAAATACGAAGTAAACCATATTAATTAAAATGCACAAATTTGCTTACCTATATCTGGATTCTTCTTTGAGATCCTGGGCATCCTGGCTAGTCTTGTTACTGTGTGCTGTATCACTAGTGTGATGTCTCTGACCTGCGCTACCAGCCAACCGGAATAAGCTATCCCGTATACAAGTCCTTACTCCCATATCCAACTGCAGGTCAAAAAAGAGTATTAGTTATTCTCAACATAAAGGTCGCCTACAAAGTATTGTCGGATTATGGCTTCGTCCTTATTTAACATAACAAACCAATCAACCATTTGAGTACCTTTGCTACAACATCCTGAAGGCGATAAAGAACCAAGAATTCTGCTGAATTGTCAACAGCGGCAGCAAGGTTGCCAGAATCATTTAGTTCCAAAGATGAGTTAGGATCAAAGGAAGGCATTGCAGTTAGTCTTTGGAGATTATTTTTATTGACAAGCAGGAGTGGATTATCTTGGGTACAGTTCTGAGTGATGGATTGATCTGCAACAGGCACCTGATGACGAAATTGCTGCTGTTGTCTCTGAATGGCAAGCATCGCCTGCATTTGCTGTCTGCGTCTAAGTTTTTCTAGTTTTTCCTGTGGTGTCATTGTTGAAGGTCGTACAGAGGCATCTGTTGCCATGTTTACCGAGATAGCAGTAGCAGGATTGTAGGAAGGATGCATTATCTGATTTTTAACATCAGGACACTGGACGGTCGAAAGTACAGGCACAGTCGAATATGGATTTGTAAGATTACCAAAACCAGAAGCAGCCATGTATTGGTTTGGCATATGTGGATAGTGTGATGTCCCAGACCCTTGAGATCCACTCTGCAGATTAGTAGCCATCAAAGAGGATTGTGAGGGTGTCAGCTGATTTACAAATTTTCCAGGTGAATTCCTTGACGGAGTTCTCTGACTGTACAGGTCTTGAAATGCTCCTGCCTCAGAAGTCCCAGACATTTTTGAAAACTTCATCATTTTATTTGGTTGATATGGCTGGACAGAAAAAGGAAATGAAACAAAGAAGGATCAGTGAACAGTATAAATTAGAAAGCATAAGAATTATAAATATTTGAAGACATAACTCATGCTACATTTACAAGAAGAACTATGTAACATTCTTTCATTCACTTTATCACAAACGTGTGAGAGTATATGCAAAGTACCTGGTCCTCAGATAAGGGTTGACTCTTATGATATTGATCAGACTTTTGGGTTACCCGTACGTTCGGTACACTTTGGGATGACAGACCGTTGCCTTTAACAGTCAATGGAAATTGCTGGTCCTCTTTTTGCTCAAACTCAGTTCTAATATCCAATCCTAGATCTTGAGAGTCCAAAATTGATGGTAACGATTTTGATGGACTATTGGATACATCTTTAGAAGAAGACCATAACTCATCAGCACCGATGAGACTACCATCGCCAAATGTAGGGACATCATTGCTGCAAAATCATCACTTGTGAGGATATTGTGTTAGATAGAGACCTAGTGATGATTTGTATCTTTGTCGAGACAAAATTCAAGTCAGCATATGGATATAGAAAACATTATACAGATCATTTTTTATAATAGATTAGATAGATGTAAACGTTTAGGAATAAGGTTATTCAAACCACAGTCAAAAGGTGACAATATCGAGATTGTTTGAAGTATGTGGGAAAGTAGGAAGATGGAACGAAAGAAGTCCGTCATTAAAAGTTACTGCATAGCTCAGTCAGGATGAGAACTAGTTTTACCTGAACATTCGATCAAGATCATCAAAACTACCAATGCTAGCCCAGCCATACTCATCAAAATCACTTTGCTCTTTATTCTCATCAGTGCTATGAAAAATATCGGGGCCTTTCCCAAGTTCAGACGTTTTCTCTGGTAAAACAGGGTGAGCACACAACTTTAAAACGATAAGATTTGAAATCACGTACCCAAGGAAAACATCACTGTTTCAAGAAACGCACCACCTCTCGTTGAATTATATCTGGCTGGCTCAGCTAAGCATTTTGAAAGTTCAGTTGCACTCGAAACTGGATCAGCTTCTCTGGCATTAGATATAGACGAGTCAGGCCATGAGCTCATACAGCAATCTGGCTGAGAAATCCCCTCATCAACATTATGGCCCGAACTGCTCCCCAATTTACTGTCATGGATGCCAATTTCAGTCCCAGTATTCTTCTGCTCAGCTTGCTTAACTGTCTTAGAATCTTCACTACCTTCCTTCCTATTAAGTTGTTCACTTCTTACTTTAAAAGGCACAATATGGTCGCCTGTCTCACCGTCATCACCCCATATCATATTAGTAAGCTGAAATATAGGTTAAGACCATAAACAATAGGGATCAGGCACAAGCAGGTTTTAACATCTACATGCAACCGAAATGAAGAAAATTAAAATATATTTAAGAACATGATACAAGAGCAGCTTAGAAGCATAAAACATAGGCACACAAAATCCCACCCAATAAAACAAATGGATAATGGAAAAGTGAAATCTGACTCTATAACTAGTTAGAGAGGTATTGGTCCCTGTTAAAGACAGTGTCAAGGAAAACCCAGTTAGGAAAAAGAAATGCTAGCACGGCCATCTTCCAAATAACTGGCTCCAACACAAAGCCTATATCCGTATTGGAAAATATTGCCTAGCTCTCTAAACAATTACTAGAGTTCAACTTCATCAGACTCTCTACTCATTCCATTTTCGGCCTATTCCCCGACAAAAGCACCTAGAATCAACTCCTGAAACCTTTGCAATATATTTTCCTGCATCCACCTAAAGAGTAACTTACGATGACATTCCTTATCAGTTCAAAATGCAAATATCTCAGCTTTGTAAACCCTCAGAGAACTAACCCCTATTAGGATTCTCCCTTTAACTACTTACTTACCATACCCAAAATCGAAACTAGCTCAACACAAACTCAGATCTTTCTTTGTTATGTGAGAACAGAACTTCGTGGCTCCTTCCATTACATTCAAAATTCAAGAGAAAAAAAAAAGAAGCTTCAGCGTGAATGGTCATAAAACGTAAATGCATCCTCCTGTTCTATATCTTCAATGCAGTCCTGAATCTCCAGTGCTAACGCCTAAACCTCATCCTTCTCTGTGAATTATGAGTTTTACGGCTAAAGAACCATGAAACTTAATCAAATCAATCCAAGAAATTCACAGCTTATATATCTCTCTCTTTCTCGCTTCTTCCGAAGGAGCAAGTTAGAGATTGACACAGAGATATGTAATTAAGCACCAAAGAACAAGGTTCACACTTTAATGAATCTAAAACAGAGAGCTGCTTAT